TATGTGATCCATTTGCATTCTTCTACTGTACCATCAAATGCCGGAATAATGATAATTTTTTTGCTTTCTGATATGCATAAGAGTTGTCTGTGGTCAGGGCAGAACTGGGGGGGGGGCTTTTGTCCTAGTGTGCGTGCACTGCATAAGGCAATGAAATTAGAAATTTCCAGCCTAATATGTTCCTCCTTTCCCCTGTAAATTCACACTCTGGATCCATATAATAGGTCTGTATAGCAATTACAGTTTAGGTTTCTGCTTCCATGCACTGCAGCAGGAGCTGGCACTCCCATGAAATACCACAAGCTGACTGGGCTGATTACAGATATTAGAGGTCCTGACAAACATCACAGAGAGGTGGTGAAAAAAGACAAAAGGGTTACCTCTGTGCAGTGAAGGACAATGAATCACAGTAAAGGATCATTATAAAAATGGATTTTTTTAAAGTAGGCTCAAAATAGCACTAAAAGGATCTTCATAGTAACACAGGGAGAACAAGATATGTAATTTCAGTTTCTCAGTCCCTTCTGGAATGATGGCTTCCTGTCCTCCCTAGCAAAAAATGACATATGAATAAAAATACTTCTGGGAACCAGAGACCTATGGCAGTATCTGGATGAGAATAATACCTTTAACTGAGGTAAAATACAATGTCATTTTGGCTGTGACATTTCTACAAAGCAAGGAAAAACAGGTGACTGCCTAAAGATACTTTATTCTTTGTTTGGGCCTTGGTCTCTTCTGTGGTGAACACAGCTTGTACATGGAGCAGAACCCGCCTTGGATAACACTTCCATGTGGAGATGGAGCCATGTGGCCATTTATTCTGTCACTCCCAGGATGTGTTGTAAGATACAGAAACAGAGGGCTAAGCCCTTCAGTTTGACCTTCTGTTTAACCCCATGGGTAATTTGTCAGAGCAGCACTCTTTTTCCTGCCACTTCTGTCTTACAGAGGGTGTTGCAAGAAACTGCACACCTCCTGGGAATTGTGGAACAATTTTACCAGGCATCAAAGCAAGACTGACAGGTCTTTAGTTGCCAGGGTCTTGTCCTTGAAAACTGGAATAACATTTGCTAGTTTTCATTCGACTGGGACCTCTCTAGATTCCCAAGATTGTTGGTAAGTAACTGAGAAAGATCCCACAACAGCACAACAAACCTCCAGTACCCCGGGGTGAATCACGTCAGGCCCCACAGACTTGCATTCATTAGGTTGCAGCAGCAAATCCTGTGCATGTTCCAAGTCAATGGGGATCTGACCACTTCCCAGTGACAGTTCTCCAGCTCATCCTTGGTGTTAAAGACAGAGGTGAATTTAATGTCTCTGCTTTATCTGTGTCCCTATTTGTGAGGTCAGCAACTTCATCAGATAACCAACCAATGTTTTATTTGGCCTCCTTTTGCTGTTACCATACTTTTAAAAGCCTTTTTTGATATCCACCAGGGTACTGAGCAGCTTCAACTGCAATTGAATTTTGGCCATACAGATTTTCTCCCTACAGTGGCAGAAAGCACCTCTATAGTCCTTCTGGCTAACATGACCTTGCTTCCAAAGTCCATATGCTTCATTTTGCCTCCTAAGTTAGAAGAAGCTTTCTAGCCACTGGACCAGTCACATTCTGGAGGACTCTGATGGCCAGACACATATTAAGCCTGAAAGCATAATTTTACATATTTATCATATGTATGTGATAGGGCCTGTGATATTAAAGGCCTGGGCCTTCTGAAGAAGGAGATTCCTTTTAGGTGTTTGCTAAACTCCTTTCTGACACTATCCATTTCTTCTCTAGCTGTGTGAAGTTCACCATTTCTCACTCTTGGTTGTTTTCATCCAGAGTGAGAGAGAAGCTACGGTGTCCCTGACATGTCAAACTGGGAAAAAGTATTTTTGAGGGTTAATTCTTACCCTTTGCATCCTTTATGCTCATCTAATGAAACTATGCCAGGGGATGGTCTCCTCTGACACTGTAATATCCGTTGCTCTTTAAGCTGAGAATTCAACAGTTTACAAATGTCTCCTGAATGAAACAGCATTAGAAAATGATGTCATTTACAAGGCCAAATTCTACGAGAATCAAGGAACTAGACTTGTGAAGACACACCTGAGTTAGCAAAGCATTTAAAAGTGTTTACACTGAAGAAGCTCTGAAATATTTAAACAGCTTTTGGTTACATTAGCCTACTTCTTTTTTCTGTATTGCAGACTAGAACAGTAGTTCCCAATCTTTTTACAGCCAAACTTTATGTAAAAAGCTGGTATTTATTTAAAAACACAGATATGTGAAGACCATGGGAGTGATATAATGTCACAAGTCAATGTCACGGCGCTAGGGCACAGCCCGACCCGGCTCGGGGCCGTCGGGATGGGGGGATCCTGGGGGATCCAGGGC